AGCTGACTGTATTTGCATGGATCTATTTCCGGGCTCTGTATTCTGTTCCCTTGATCTGTTTATCTTGTCTAATTACCATCTTGATTACTATAGTTTTTTATACTAAGTCTTAGAATTCGGTAGTGTCAGTCTTCCCGACTTTTTCTTCAGTATTGTGTTGACTATTTGGGGCCTTTGCCTTTCCATATAAACTTTAGGATTAATTTTTTTTAATATCCACAAATAACTTGTTGGGATTTTTGGTTGAAATTGCATTGGATCTATAGCATAAGGAAATGTGGGGCTTCCTATGGTCAGATTGTTATCCACTTCTAATTCAGCATTGTTCTCCATTTCTAATTCAGCAAGCATCATATCAGAACAGACTGTATTCAGAGATAACTTTTTTTTTCCCCTGAGCCATTTGGAAGTAAATGCAGACACGATACTTTACTCCTAAATTCGAGTATAAACTCTCTAGGAAGAACATTTTCTTACATAACCACAGTATCATTACCCCTAAGGTGATTAACATTAGCTCAACAAAGAGCTTTAAAAAAAAAAAAAAAGCTTGTCCACAATAAAGCTCTTTTTCTTTCTTTTATTATTATTATTATTAAAACCCATCCTGTCCTGCACTAAGCAGTGTTCTGTGTTAGGATCTGAAGATAAACAAGCAAAGTTCCTGTCTTGAAGTCCCGTCTCCCATGGAGAGACATCTTAGACAGTGATTCTGTAGATAGGGGTAAGGACCATAGTAGCTTCATCTACTTTCCTCTCATTCAAGGAGTGTGTCTGCAGAGGCGTCCTCCCTGCGAGGTAGAGAGAACTGTGCCCAGAGCCATGTTGTGGAGCCCATTCCATGATCCACCAGCCACCCCTGATGGAACTTCCCCTGAGGGACTTGCATCCATCTAGAAGTTAAGAATGTCTCTCCCAGGATATCCTTCCCTCCATCTGAGTCTCTGAGTTTCTGTGCAGTGAGGATTGGACAGGCACAGTGGAGCAAGGACAGTGGCTTTGAGAACCAGGCTGAGGGATGGCTTTATTCTACAGGTCAGTGGTATTGAGTAACACGTGGAATTGGCCGTGAATCCCAGGGACCCAAATTAACAGCAGCTTCTTCAAGATAGGAGCTGATTCCTCTGTCATGCAACAGGAGGTAGCTGGTCTGGGGCTGGCAGACTGGCTCTGATCCATGGGCTCATCCGGGGACCTAGACTCGTGATGGCTTGTCACCACATCTGCATCCCAGGCACAGGATGGAGGAAGGGGAGCAGACAGAAAGTACCCTGTGAGGATCTTGGCTACTAGACCCCTCACTTCTGTCCAGATCCCACTGGCTACAACCGACCTTTGTAGACTTACCTAGATGCAAGAAGGTACTGAGAAACAGTTGTCATTTGCAAGGCCACATGCCTGGCTAAATAGAGGGTATTCTATTCCCTGTAAGAAAGGAAAAGTGGGTACTGAGGCCAACTTGCACCTCCTTGAATACTAGCATATTTTCTTTAAAAAAAAAAATGCCTTCTATAAAATTAGTTCCTTAAGATGCTTCTTAAAAATAGGTTTATTGGGCAAAAAAAAAAAAAAAATTGGAAACGTTAAGGTCTCAGAAATTCACAATGCAGAGTAACCTATTAAAGCCTCTGAGAAGTTCTGCAGTAAAGAAATATGTCTATCCTTGTTTAACCTAAGATAACTTGGCTGAAATCCCTTTTTTTTTAATTTGTTTTATTTTTCACAGAAGCCCTATTAGCATAAGCTTTGGAAAATGCCGCTTTGGGGATGATTAAAGGTTTCTTCGTCTGCAGTGATGTAGACATTTTTGCAGTAGTTCTACTCCTAGGGGTGTTGTCAACAGACATGTGTGCATATTATGTCAGTCAAAGTCTAATCAAAGAAACAGAACCGCTAGGAGATGTCTGAAGGGGTTTATTGCAAGAATTTGATCTTACCCAGTCGTGGGAGCTGGGTGGACAGTCTGTGTGAGGCTGCGGTCTTTCTGCCTAATGATGGAGCTTGAACTCTACTGGGCAGGCAGTTACGGAAGAGGAGAGTGTGTATGGTTGGGAAGATGGAGAGAAGCTGGAACTCTTGAGACCCCGGTCAGTCGGCCTCCAGCTTTAATGCTGTGGGTGTCCCGATGAAGCCGATGCCCTTCATTATGGAACCAAACATGCACCTGGCTTAGGAGTCAGAGATGGTGAGAGAGGACCCAGGGGAGGGTGGGTCCAGCACTCATAGGCTTGGCTGCACCTCGACCCTGCCCCAATCGAGGTGGCCTGCAGATGAGTAACAGTGCACGTGAGGTGCCCGATGTTTCTGTGTGCACTCCTCTACTTGCAGTAAAAAAGTTTATAGGTCAAATTAAAGTTTTAACAAGTTGCTGAGCAGTCACGGGCCATTTCCTCCTCGAGTTGGAGGAAAGAGATGAAGTTAGTGTAGGGAGAGAAGGCAGCAGGTATGGGAAGGAGCACGTTCTGTGAGGGAAGATGACAGAGTCTACCTGAGGGGCATTGCAGCTCTGTCCCAGGCTGTACCTTCCTAGGCCAGCCATGGGCTGCCATTGTGAAGGGTTAAGGCCGTGGGCACAGAGGCCAAAGCAGGAGCTCACCAGCAGACTCACCTCCATGGCACGAGGGTAGGGACCATGATCTAGTATTTCTGGGGTCAGCCCCAGCCCTTTTTAAGTTCCTTGGGGGGGTCCTGAGGCACTCCACAGGCAAAGAGCCCCTGAACCCCAGAGATTGGAGACCTGGATGGTAAGGGGGAAGGATGGGGATACCTTTATCCCCAAGTTCACCCCTCTTTCAGAGTGCACTGTGCTTTTTCTTGTTTTTAACCCGGACACACACAACATCATTCTAGCCTGTTTTATAAAATACTAATTCCCCTTTCCAGGCTTTTTGTTTTAGCTCACTGTTAGATTCATGATTCCTCTCTTGAAAGTAAACTATTTGAAAGCTCCGAGGCTGTGACTATGGGATTGGATAACCCTCTGTGATGTCTGCCATGTTTGGAGACTGGATCGTCTGTAGGGAGATGGGACGTGCAGCCTCTCTGATGCTCCGAGCAGTGATCTGTAAGGCCTGCTGGCTGCATTCCTGATGGCAATTCTAATGCCTATGAAAGTTTGTTCTGAAATAAAATCCCACAGTCCCCGCCACCCCATTTACCCTCACAGGCCCACCACCCACTCCTGGGCAGACCATCCCAAGGCCTGCTGCTTCCGCTGCCCCCGCCCCTGCCCCCCTACCTCTTCCCATCCTTCTCTGCCTTTGGAGGGCTCATTTCACACTTTCTCTTGCACCTGGCCAAGGCTGGTCCATGAGGAACATCAAGACCTGTGCCAGGTGCTCAGAGCAAGAGGGAAACCTCTGTCTTCAGGGAAATCATATCCCTTGCCCGGGAATTTATTTTTTTCCCTTCATTTAAGTTGGGAATTAAGTAGCTGGGAGCGATCTTACAGGTGAGTCGGCCTCCTCGATTCCTGAATTGCCCTCCCGTTGCAATGAGGAAACTAAGGCTCCAAGAGGTTTTACCAAGGGTCAATAGCTTGTAGCAAAACCAAGCCTTGAAGCCAAGGCTACACCACCGTCCGCCACCAGGGGGCTGGTCTAGCCCTGTGCAGGGGGGTCCAGGCCAGGCCCCTTAACTACTGACAGCCCCTTCAGGGTGCCCGCTCAGCTAGTTAGGGGTGACTAAGCACGTTTCCTTAATGTCTCATTTCCTCATACGTAAAAATGGGAGAAAGTTGAAAATGTGATGATTACACAACTCCCTTGAATTGTGGGCTTTGAGTGAGTGCACTGTACCGTATGTGAATTGTATCTCAGTAAGGCTGTTAGGAAAAAATAAAAGTGAAATCTCACACGTAGCTTAGTATTCTATTTTGAAAATTTCTGAATATACGAGAAAATAGTAGTAAAGATTCCGTAGTGTTCTAGGTAACAGTGTTAACTGTGCCTGTCTCTGATTGCCTCAGTCGGATGAATGCTCATGACCGCTTCATTCTAAATCCCATGTTCTCCTCTATCATGGTGTTTATCCCCCGGAAGTGTAATCATTTGGGCTCCTTGTTTCTCTCTGGACTCTAATCTCTTTGAGGTCAGGGGCTATGTCTTACTTGACTTTGTAGCTCCAACATCTAGCTCAGTAGAAACTCAGTAATTAATGAAGAGAGAATGAGCCCCAAGGTTCTGGAAGCAAAGAACCAGTGGCTGAATCTAGGATGTGGGCCTCACCTGGGGAGAGAGGAGAAAGAGTTCAGGAAGGAAACAGCTACCTAGATCAGAGAGGCAGGGAAAGAACCCAAGTAGTAGTCTATCATGGGAATCAAGGGAAAAGAGGAAGAAAAATTTTTTTAAAGATTTTATTCATTTATTTGACAGACAGAGATCACAAGTAGGCAAAGAGGTCCATGCTCCCTGCTGAGCAGAGATCCTGATGCAGAGCTCAATCCCAAGACCCCAAGATCACGACCCGAGCCAAAGGCAGAGGCTTAGCCCACTGAGCCACGCAGGCACCCGAGGAAGAAATCTTTGAGGAACTCTCAAATGCTACAAAGAGTCAATGAAAATGTGACTCAAAGTACAGAGTTTGAGGTTTGTCATTCAGTAGCTGTAGAAGGACAAGATGGAGCAAGATCTCGGGGGGTTAAGGAAAGGAAAGGGGGAGAGAGGGTAAAAACACGCCCTTGGAAGTGAGGCCGTGAAAGGAAGGAGGTTCAGAAGTAATGAAGCAGAATGACATCACCAAAGACCGTATCCGTGCTAGAAGGGAGTCTGTGCCCATCCCAAGGCGGAGATGGAAGGCTTCTTCAAGGCCCGTCTCCTGGCACTTTGGAGTAACCGGGGGACTCTGCCAGCATGTGGGTGGCAGATGAGATGACCCACTTGAGCATCTTGGTGGCCGAGTCAGCAGTGCATTTACTGGGCAGCTGTATGCCCTCAGCTCCTGCACAAGGCCCTCTTCTTCAAATGACTTTCTTTTAACTTGGATCCTTCCTTCCCCCACAGGAAACATGGTGGAATGGTGCTTACCTCAAGATATTGACCTTGAAGGTGTTGAGTTCAAGTCTATGGCCAGTGGGTCCCATAAAATTCAGTCTGACTTCATGTAAGTATTTCAGAATGTCAGTCTTCCGTGTACCATTTCCTCTCCTCACATCATTTCCCTTCAGAGTAAGGGCTCTCATAAAAGAGGCTTCCAAAGGTGTGGGGAAAGGCCCTGAAAGTATACCTGTAGTTTGTGTTTATATCTGTTTTCTATCAAGAAGGTCCCCAGCTTTCATTAGAGTCTCAGTGGGTTTCATGACCCCCGAAAGTTAAGAACCATCAGACATTCTCTCCCTCTTAGGAAAACACTAGACTTCTCTTGAGGTTTGGCTTTATTGAAAGAGTGGACTTTCAGTTCAGTGTGGGTTACCTTAAGACATTTATGTCCCCAAACTTGAAATTCCAGCTTTAATTGAGGCCAGATGATAGTCCTGTGTAATGTAGATCGGTGTGAGAAGGAGCAGACAGCTAGAACATCAGGGTAATGAAGAACGAGGTAGCTTGAATCTTCTCATTGGGCTGCAACCCGGATAGAAGTGTGAGAAAGGGGAAGGAGTAAAGGACAGCTCTGGTCCTGTGCCCCATTAAAAGTGTCAGGATTCAGGAAGTGAGAAAAAAGAAAAAAATCAATGTGGTTTATGCTCATAAAACAGTTCCGTTCCAGATGGTCCCGAAGAGGGATCATTGTTTTGGTTCCCTCTCATGGCATGAGCTGTGTTGCCCTAGAGGAGGAGGGATCTGTCCATGGTTGGGGTGTTGAGCAGCAGGCTTGCCAGAGGTCAAGTCCTGGATCCCGCTGGATGACCGTCGGTGCATTCCATAATCTCCTTGCGCCTCGGTTGTCGCATCTCTGGGGTTGAGTGGCTTGGACCAGTGTTCCCCTGTGGTTCTGAAAACATCATCTTCAGGCCGAGCTTCGTCAGGTAGAGCCCTGGACTGCATTACTTGTTTTCCTCGGGACTGCATCTCAAATTAGAACACGAAGCTGAACAAAATTTCCCTGATGGTGATCCACGCTACACACTGGGTCCCTTCTAGCTATTTCCGAAAGGGGCCCTTCTTCGGCCTGGCCTGCTTCGCCAACATGCCTGTGGAGAGTGAGCTGGAGCGCGGCGCCCGGATGAAGTCTGTGGGCATCCTGTCTCCGTCCTACACCCTGCTTTACCGGTACATGCACTTCCTGGAGAACCAGGTTCGGTACGTGGTTTACGTGCGTGTGTGGGGAGGCCACAGGGACGCCCCACCTGCCCAGGGGTGGGGGGGGCATGTGTGAGGAGCTCTCCGAAGAGAAGCCTGTGTGCCCACGCAGCAGATGGCCTTCCATGGACATCCATGGCCACATTTCATGCCTCAGAGGGGGGGGTCTTTCTGTCCTAAAGATTCTTCTTGCTGCAGGAAAAGCCGGATGGGTTTGCCTTCAGCTTGTGTTTTGTTTAATGACATAATCTGTTGACAGTTACCTGATCTTTGTTTACCCTAAACCACAGGAAATACCTGCTTGCCCCTGGTGGGCAGACAGACTCTATAAACTCTTCTTAAGCGTAATCCTTTATTATCTGGGGTTATTATTACCACTTGTGGTAAACAGAAAGGAATTTTTAACAGAAGCAGCGAAACCATTCATGATTTTATACATTTTTTATTACTCTAATTTCATTTCAGATTTTTTTTTAAAGATTTTATTTATTTATTGGACAGACAGAGATCATAAGTAGGCAAAGAGGCAGGCAGAGAGAGAGGAGGAAGCAGGCTCCCTGCTGAGCAGAGAGCCCGATGCGGGGCTCCATCCCAGGACTCTGGGATCATGAACTGAACCAAAGGCAGAGGCTTTAACCCACTGAGCCACCCAGGCGCTCCTCATTTCAGATTTTAACAGAGAAATCTATCCCTAATTCCTGAAGCATTATTAAAATTTTGGCACATTTGTCTCTTTTCTGGTATATATGTATGTATACTTATAAAAATTATATACTTGGCACCAGACTCTACATATGTTTTTATACCTCATATTTTTAAAAATTTATCTTCTTAATTTTCTTATATAACAATCTTTCTTGGTCATCTTTGAAAGAACATGAAATTTGTTGTTTATGGGGAAAAGCTTATTTTTTAAAATATATATAAAAGTACACATGATTTAAAAAAAAATTCTAAATTTTAACACCAAGATCTCCATTATGAATATTCAGTGAATGCCAGTCTAAAAGAGAAATAGTTTTACAAAAATAGGATTAATGCTTTACGAGGATTTAATTTTATCACATAGCGGGCTGGTTTGAAATCCATTGAATTTAATCTTCCTTACAGAGTACAAAGGAAAAGAATAGTGGAACTGAAGGAATTCTCAAACGTCCAGTGGATGTTTGGTTATTTCCTTTTTTTTTTTTTTGCCATGATTTACATTATTTCTTGAAGGATTCCTTCAAAGTTAAGGAAAAAGATTATGAAAACCACAAAAATAGTGTGTCATTCCTATTTTTGTTGAGAAATAACATATACTCAGCATAAGCATCACTGGTGGTTTTCAGTGTCTCGATTCTGGACGTAGTCGGCCATCTTATCTACCACCTCTCAGCTCCTCTGCCCTAGTTCACATCTCAATTCTTACATATGGTGAGACTTACTCTATATTTAGTTCGACAGTCCTGCTTCCCACTGTTCTTCAATCTCGGTTCCATGTGTACCACCATGGCCACAGCTTGGCTGTGGCTTGCCCTGTTCCCCAGCTCCTGACTGGATTTGTTCTTGGCTGGTTGGGTTTTGTCATCAAGTCCATCAGATGCTTTATTCTGTCCCCCATGAGAGGATCCTGGTTGCTGCCTTCCTTGAGGTCTCGAGCCCTTAATCACATGTGTCTGTCACCTTTCCTCTGGATGGCTAGAAGGTTCTAGAATCTTTCCTTCTTCCTCTCAGGATGCTGTAAATATTGCTGTTCTATCTTCTGATACTCGTTGTCTGGAAAAGTCTCTGATTTCTAGATCCATATAGATTCTTAACTCATGAAGTGTCTGAACTTTCTTTCCAGGGATGGTTTGTCCCTTCTGATCTAGAGATATGCCTTTTATTTTTAATTTTGGGAACTTACCATCTGTAAGAAAATATTCAACTTTCCCATTGCATTTTTTTTCCTTCTTTTATGCACCGGTTAGGCATATGTTTTCTCTGCCTCACCCTCTGTATTTGTCATTTTGATGATTATTTTAATAACTCTGTAATGCTAGTTGTTCCATAAATTTTCTTGATTGTTCCCTATGGGTTGAGCACTTAGCATGTTTCTAATTTTTTTTAATTGCTCCTCTGCACTCTGGAACTGTGGAGAACACCTTCATTTAGATCTCTTTTTCTGTTTTTGAAATATTTCCTCAGTTTTGTGTCTCAGAAGTAAGATTATGGAGTTAAAAAAAATTTTATTGGGATCCTGACACTTTTTAAAAAATTGTTATTCCTTTTGAAAAAAACTAATTTCCCCAAGTAGACAATATTTTCTCATGGCTCAACTGTTAAAAATTAAAAGATGGCATTATTATTAGTTAGGGTCCTAGCTAAATGGCAGTACCAGGGGCCTCAAAATACAGTGGTTCAAATAAGGTAGAAAACTCTTTCTGATGTGATAGTCTGTGGTAGGCAGGTGCTCAAGGTGGGAAGCCTGCTGTTCCCTACGGTTGTTTAGGGACCCACACTTCTTTGCTCAGATTGTTCTATCATATCCTAAGAGTAATGTTTGTATTCTAAGACGTTTGTATTCAAAGCTGTTCAGCACTACTGTTTGCGTCTATACCGGAGGGAGGAGGGAAAGCCCCTGGAAATTGCATCATCTTTTCTCACTCACCATTGTCAACTTCTCCATCAAAAGACACACCTAACAGGAAAGGAGACTGGAAGAGGTAGTCTCTAGGTTGGTGACCTTGTGACCAGTTAAAAATCTGGTGATACTGTTGCAAACAGGAAAAAGGGACAGATGGACTTTGGGGCAAAATTAGCAGCCCCTGCCTCAGTTTGCCCTTTTCACTAGTCAAGTATCCATTGGCACTCTTCTTCCCACATGTAGAGGACATTCCCCACACCCCAAGTGAGACCTCATAGAGGCTCATCCATTTAATGCTTCTAGTCTAAAATCCAGGATTTCTGTGTGGTATAAGACCAATCATTAGATCAGCACATGGTTCCTCATACCCTGAAAACCTACAAAAGAGTAGACAAGTCTATTTACTCCCCACCTCCCAAATGCAATATAAAAAGTGGAATGTGGGGGGTGCCTAGGTGGCACAGTTGGTTAAGCATCCAACTTGGTTTCTGCTCCAGTCATGATCTCAGGGTCGTGAGGTCGAGCCCCACATCTGGCTCTCTGCTCAGCTGGAATCTGCTTAAGAGAGAGATCTTCCTCTGCTCCTTTCCCTGGCTCACACTTGCACATACTCGTGCACTCTCTCTCGCTCTCAAATAAAGAAATAAATCTTTGCAGGGGATAAAAAGGTGGACAGTACCGATTCCTATTTGGAAAAAGGAAAGATGAGAACTCCAAGCCGCTGTTAGTCCATAATGATAGTGAAATTCTGCTGGGCAGGGATTGCAAAGGCTTCTTGTCCTGGCAGAGCAGTGTGTTCCTTGCTGGAACCCTGGTTCTGTTATTGACAGCCCCCTTGCCCATTTTCCTCCGTGGCTCCTGGCTTTGCCTTCTAGGAGGTTCTTTGTCCATTTTCCATTGTAACACTTCTGAAGCAGGCATGCTCTCCAACGTGATCTTCTCGAGGCTGCATAGCTGGAGAACACATTTCCCACTGAAGTGTGTCTGTGAGTGTAGTGGTTTCTTTAAAGATCGAGAAGTCATGGGCTTTTATAGACCAGGCATGTGACAATACAGATCCCTCAAAAACTGAATAGTCTTCTGGTCTGTTTGCTTCGAGTCCATTCCAGATAAAAGTATCCACTGCCAAAGATTTCTTTGGGAGTCTTAGTTTTTAAGTCACTGGACGACATACTAGTTACTTGTGTCTGTTCTTGGCGTCTCCATCCTTTCCTCATTTTAATGGCAACGGCCTTGAGGCTGCACCTGAAATCTGATCTTTGCAAATGGACGTGACTCCTGTGACTCTACTCCTAACTAGAGACTTTCATAGAATCTTTGAGAGAAAAAAAAATTTTTTTTTTAAAGATTCTATTTATTTGTCAGAGAGAGCATACAAGCAGGGGGAGCGGCAGGCAAAGGGAGAGGGAGAGAGAAGCAGACTTCCCGCTGAGCAGGGAGCCCGATGCAGGGCTCGATCCTAGGACCCTGGGATCATGACCTGAGCAGAAGGCAGATGTTTAACTGACAGAGTTACCCACGTGTCCCTTTGAGAGAAATTCTTCTGCTTTTGGGGTACAAAAGCAGTTGACTTTTCCAGTCCTATGGGATCCCAAGATAATTGGAGTCCTGAGTTCCTGAGTTCTTCAGGACACACTGCCCTTAGGCTGCATCTCCTTCCATTTCAGCTTGCGAAGCAGTCAGTTCTTACCTGTTTGCATCTTCTCCATCAGGAGCAATCAGCGTTTTATTTCTACCACTTGCCCTGAAATTACAAGTTCCAGTGACACAGGGCCTGTCTTCTAAATTACTGAAGTTCTAACAAGTTTTTGTGACAGTGGAACAAGAGCTCCCAGCTTTCCGGCCTGCAACACCTCTTCTCACCACCTTCCCTTGCCAGCTGCTGAGCCAAAGCCCACAGTGTCTTTTCTGATACGGGGTAACTCATTTCCAGGTGCCATCTTCTGCTTTTGCTAGAGTACAGGCAAGCCGCTACAGCAGAGAAACCCCACATATAGTGACTCGAAGGAGACCGACGTACGGCTTTTCTAGCACAACCGCCTTGGAGGGGGACAAGCCATCCAGGGGGGTAGGTGGCTCTGTTCTGCTTGGTCATCCTGGGACCCAAGGCTTTCCATCCTGTCTGCTCCTATCTCCTAGAGCATCGTCCTCATCGGCATGGTGGAAGTGGACCCACCGTTATCGGGTCATGTACTTCTGGTGTGCAGGAAGAGGAAAAACCACAGGAATACCCCAAGTTAAACACATCCCTTCTCCTTACACGCCATCACCCAGTTCTTCGTTCCTAGCCACGCCTGGTAGCAAGAAGTCTGGCAGTTGTGGTCCTTAATGAGGTGACTGTGTGACAAGCCACAATCAGAAAGGTCTGTTACACATGGAAGAAGAGAGTGGC